CTCTCCAGTCCTTCCGAAAAGCCGTCAAAACCTGGCTTTGCCGGCAGGCCAGGGGGTGCGTTCCCCTCCCCTCTCGACTTGTGTGGTGCGTGATTCTTGTTTATTTTAATTATCTGTATTCTGTCCTATGTTTCCCCTTTTGAGTTGTTCACCGCCCTGAATACCTCCCGGAGAAGGGCGGCATACAAATAATAAAATTCAATTCAATTCAATTCAATTTTTTTTTCCCCACACAAGAAAGTGTCACAACATTCCCTGCTTTATAGCTGAACCAAAAGGATTCAATTTACCCCTGGTCAATTCTTAATAGGATTAGGAATCAATATTTCAGGTGAACCAGTATCCTTCATAAATGAGGAAAGTTCTCCTCTTCAGAAATGTGGTTGTGCTGCTCCAAAGCTGGCAACGCAACCTATTGTGCAACAGTGCCCCTCTCAGCGCATATCAGGGAAATCCCTGAGGCTTTCTGTTTGCAACATCATCATCTGTTGACTCATACAACTAGTCTGCCTTTGAATTTGTAAATAGAGCAAACAGTTTCATATTTGCTCATTGAGAACGTAATTGTGATGCACCGTTTTTCTTTTTTAGCATTTTTGCCATAAGCCAAATTAATAAAATCCAGAAGAAAACAAATTAACAATTTCACATTTTGAGAGATGTAATTGTTGGAGGAAGATACGTTCCAGCACAGAAACTTTAATTATTAAAAAAGGAGAGAGAGAATATGTGTAGCTCAGCAGGGTTGAAATGAGGAGTGCTTGGTGCTCTCTGAGCTTGTTTGTTTTCTCACAGACGTTTCATTACCAAACTAGCTAACATCATCAGTGCTCGTAAGGAACTCCTAGTTTGGGTAATGAAATGTCTGCAAGAAAATAAGCAAGCTCAGACAGCACCAACGACCCCTCCCTTTTAATTATTTTACACAACTGCTTTACAATGCCCAGTCTCATCATTCTATCACAGTGCATCACAGCACTTAATCTCTTTTTCCAGGCCTGCTGATAAATCTTAGCTCAGTTCTTAAGGATTTAGATTAGGAGCTGGCAAAACAACAACACCTGTGTTTTATCAGCCTTCAAAACATTGCCTGCATAAGGTAAAATAAAATTAAAACCCTCTCTTTTACTGCCTCGGTAATGCAATATCTATTTAAAATTAAGGTCCCCTGTGCTCACTTGGGTTTTACTTCTTGGTAAGTAGATTTCAGGTAAACCCAGGTATTGTAATGAAAGGTGCAGCGAGGGGTATGTGTGTCAGCGATAGCAACATGGCATCCCAGGAAGGAGGCAGCCCTTTCCAGAAGGGGGTCTGTTGTGGCCCAGCAGAAGCCGCTGGAGCTGCAAACAGACTCCGATAGCGAGGGACCCTATGAGTCAGCTCTGGAAAATGTGGAGGACCCTGGACAGGATTCAGACTCCGAGCAGGGACCAGAGAGGCTGGTTGGCCACCAGAAGGCACCTGAGGCATGGAGCAGTGGTGAAAGCCAAAGGGAGTTTGTCCCTGACATCAGACCCTGGAGCAGTGGNCATGAGAGCATTGAACATTCATGGTCTTTAGCTTGTACAGATTACTCCATGCTCACAGATGAATTGTTTTCATGTTTTGCCAAATTTTGGTTAAAACCTTAGAAGGATGGAAAGGTCCCTGAAGCCTCCGGAGGACTTAAACCAACCCTACCAGCAAATTGGAAGTCTGTTCCTGAACTTCCGGTTTGCTCATAGGACCGTTTCTTTGCGCTCCAGAGGCTTCAGGGAAGATCCTGAAGCCTAGGGTGGGCCTTGGGGGGCGGGGGAGACTCTTTTCGCCCTCCCCAGGCTCCATAAAGCCTCTGGAGCCTGGGGAGGGCAAAAAATGACTTTTAAAAAGCCTGAATTTAGCTGGCCAGCGCTCACGTGTCCTGACAAATGGTGTGCCAAATCTATGGCATGCCATAGATTTTCTATCCCAGTTCTAGATTGTTTATTTTTGTATATGTATATGTTCCACTCTGTTCCAGAGATATGCCAAAATGGTGGAATATTTGATGGGATCAAATGCATCTGTGATGAGAATTTATACTATGGACCCAAGTGTGAGTTCCCCTTGGATGAAATTCCAGTCATTCAGTGTAAGTATAGTCAAGGAGAGCTTAATTACTTTTTCCTAATGACAGCCTAAGACAACTTTCTCAAGTTGCTTGCTTCTAGATATGTTGGATTACCATACTAGAATAAAGAGATTGCATATGGAAGAACTAAGTTTGGAAAATGTGGCTTAATTAAAGTTCCATTATAGTGCATGTAAACCGGGAACATGTAGGGAAATAATAGTTCTCTGTTCCAAGTTCAGCCTATCTGGGAAGAATGGTTTACAGTGGTTTTCCCGCCCCAAGCTAAAATGAATAATTTGGAGTTAATGTTTTCCCCACAGAGGGAAACAAAGGCCTCATGAATTGTAAGGACGATATGCCTGTTCTGTGCTAAATAACATTTTTTTAATCTAAAAAGAATCATGGAGGTGGAATTTGGAGATTGCCTCAAAAATACATGATTGGCCATTTACTGCTTCTTTATATCATGAAATAAAAAAATGACTTTTGAAACCAGATGAGGATCTTTGGATTTAAGCATTTGAAACCATGTTGGAGAATGGGAGCACATTCACCTCTTGCCTGTCACATTTTAGAGTTTCTTTGCGGGAAAGTAACTTGTTGAGGTTTATATGTGCTAAGTCCTCGACTTGTGATCGGTCCTAAAGTCCTCGACTTACGACTGAAAGCCGGCAACAGCTTAGCCGTGCCTGATTGGATAAAGCGCGGCTGGCTGAGCACGGGCTGCCAGAAGCACTCCCATTGGCTGCCCTGCTTGACAGCTCCATATAAATAGCTGTCAAGCAGGGCGAGGTGCTGAATTCTGCCTGTACATAGTTCTAGTTCTGTTTTCAAATAAACTGCTGTTCAACTCACCTCAACCGCCTCACGTCTTGTCCATCCTTCAATCTTTTACACTGGCGACGAGGATGGGATGCTGAAGGTGCCTGCCTGAACAGCCCTAGAATAGAAAAAACACAAGGGAGCTAAGTTTTTTTCCCCCTTGTCTCTGAGGAGATCGGCGATTGCCTCACGCTCAATCATGACTTTGCTTCCACAGGTCGCTCCATTTGGGACCGCCGGTGAGTCTTGGGCCAGGTTCCTGGAGCGTTTTGAGTGTTTTTTAATCGCCAGTTTCTTTTTAAGCTCCTGCGGTCCAGAAATGTTCAATATGGCCCGGGCTCTCGCTTCGCCTCAGGCCGTATATGAGCTCAGCTGGGACATTTCGATATAAAAGTTGAGGAACCATTACGCACCCACACCATCAAGAATTGGCCATCGCTACGTGTTCTGGCAATGTGTCCAGAAGGAGTCAGAGACTGCAAGCCAGTTCTTACAGTCTCTCCGGATGGCGGCCATCCAGTGTGAGTTCGTCGACCTTGACGACTCACTTGTGGAACAGTTTGTGTGTGGGGTGCGAGACCTCCGTCTGAAGCGGAGACTTTTGGCAAGGGCTGAAATTACATTGCAGCAGGCGGTGGAAGAGGCGAGAGCCACTGAACTATCTGAACAGTCCATGGCTGAGATGCATCGCATCCAGTTGCCGCCCCCACCGCCACACAGAACTTGCCTCATCGACGGGCTTGTGCCCCTGGACAAGCTCGAAGAAGACCAAGTAGACCATCTGAAAGCAGTGCCCAGGCGTCAACCACAGCAGTCTACCCACTCAGCCATCACTGCTTGCCTGGGCTGCGGGCAACCACGCTCGCTCCGCATGCCCCTTTAAGGCTGCTGTGTGCCACAGGGGCAACAAAAAGGGCCACCTGGCTCAGGTCTGCCAGGCTACGTTGCTGCTACCCCTGCAACCGGACGCCCCCACGTAGTTCTATGGCCAACAGGCACATCCACGCCTACAGCACCCCTGCTGTCAGCAGCGAAGGAAAGACGACTGCTTTGCTGTCAACCGGGCCCTTCCGAACACCCCTGCAGAGTCGGTCAGCAAGGTGATGGCCGACTCTAAGAAAATTACTGTCTGCCTGCTGCTGGAGGGAACATCCTGCACCAGGGAGGTCGATTCCGGCTCCTCCCGCTCCCTCCTGTCTTGGGCCACTTTCTCTCAGTTATGCCCCAACGTCACACGTGACCAGTTGTTACCACCAGACACTACCCTGAAGGACTACCAGGGGACTCAAATTCCCACCTTGGGCTGTCATGTTGTGAGGGTGGATTATGGGGGGTGGTGGTTCATGGCTGCCTCCCTGTTCTAGTTGTGGAGAAGCTGCTACCAGCCCTATTGGGGCTTCATTGGTTCCCCTTGCTGGGCCTGTCACTGGTGGGGGTGCATCAGACCGTGGCAATGTCCCCTGGCATTGAAGACGTCATTGCGGAGTACGCTGATATCTTCAATGGTAAGCTGGGGGAATATAAGGGGACCCCTATCTCCCTGAACTTAGACCACCAGGTTACCCCCATTAGGCTGAAGACCTGCCGAAGGTTGATGTGGAACTCAACAAATTGTTGGTGCAGGGCATCCTGGAGCCCGTTGACGACTCTAAATGGGAGACCCCCATAGTGGTCCCTGTCAAGGCCGATGGGTATATCAGGATCTGAACCGACTATAAGTCAACCATCAACCTCGGCCTCCAGGCAAACCCCTATCCAGCCCCTGTGGTGCAGCACCTGCTCCATTCCTTGGGGCAGGGCTGCATCTTTGCCAAACTGGACATGGTGCAGGCCTACCAGCAGCTCCTGGTGGATGATGAAGCTGCGGCGGCCCGGACCATCATCACCCACCATGGGGCTTTCCATTGCCACTGCCTTCAATTCGGTGTTTCTGTTGCCCTGGGGATCTTCCAGAGCCTCATGGAGCGGCTACTCCATGGGCTCCCTGGCATTGTACCCTACTTTGATGACGTCCTGATTGCTGCAAACAGCCGCTCAGGACTCATCAAAGTGTTGCGGAAGGTCCTCGAGCATTTCAGGGACGTGGGTTTGAAATTAAAGTGCAGCAAATGCTCCTTTGCTGTGCCTAGGGTGGAATTCCTGAGCTTCTTAATAGGGTTCCACCACAAAACCGCGGTCGACTAAAGCGCGCTCGACGAAACCGCGTACCTGACGTCATCACAGCATGTCGAAAAAAGCACGCTGTGAGCGGTAAAGCTAAAATTAACGCGTAAACCTAAACCTAACCCCCCCAAACCTAACCCTAAACCTAACCCTAAACCTAACCCTTAACCTAACCCTAAACCTAACCCTAAACCTAACCCTTATCCTAACGCTAAACCTAATGCTAACCCTTAACCCAACCCTAAACCTAACCCTAACGCTTAACCTAACCCTAACCTTAACCCTAACCCTTAACCTAACCCTAACCCTAAACCTAACCCTTACCTTAACGTGAATCGGCTTGCTTTAAAAGCGCTTTTTAAAGCGCCCTTTTTTCTCCGCGGTTGTTGTTGTCGCGCTGCTGATGACGTCAGCGACGCGCTTTAATCGGGAGCGCTTTAGTGGACCGCGGTTTTGTCGTGCCACATCTTAAGAGATACCCAGGGCATCCACCCTACCCCCTCCGAAGTCGCAGCTATCAGGAGCGCCCCAATGCCCGCCTCTAAGGCGGAGCTATAGGCATTCCTCAGCCTTTTAAACTTTTACGCACCATTTTTGCCACACAAGGTGTCACTAGCCAAGCCACTGCATCAGTTGCTTGACCTATCCGTGGCCTGGCGCTGGGGCAGCCACGAAGCGCATGCGTTCGCAGCTGTCAAAGCCATGCTTATGCCAGCAGCTGTCTTAGTACAATATAGTGACAAGCTGCCGCTGCCGCTAGCACCTCCCCCATTAGTCTGGGGGCTGTCCTGAGCCATGTCCTCCCCAATGGCCCCCATAGTTTTTTATTCCTGGACTCTCTCCGGCTGAGAGAAACTACAGTCAGATTGACAAGGAGGCTCTGGCTGCTGTGTCCGGGATTAAAAAGTTCCATGACTATCTATACAGACAGCATTTCACCCTCTTCACTGACCACAAGCCTCTCCTTGGACTTCTGGCCGGTGATCATACTACCCCTCCCATTCTCTCCCCTCGGATGACCCGCTGGACGGAGTTCCTATCAGCGTATTCGTATACGCTGAGGTACCGTCCAGGCAAGCAGCTGGGGCATGCTGATGCCCTCAGCTGCTGCCGCCTCCCCATCACTGACCCACAGCCGGTTCCTTGCTTATCGGTCCTGTCTATAACTTCCCTCGACCTGCCACTGACAGCCACTGATGTGGTCAGGGTCTCAGAGAACTTCCGCCCTTTCAAGACCCACCAGTTGGAACTGTGTATACACAGCAGGTGCCTTCTGTGGGCGGATAGGGTCATGATTCCCCTGCCCCTCCACCATCAGGTGCTTACCTGCCTCCATGGGGACCACCCAGTCATAGTCCGCATGAAGGCGCTAGCCCGGAGCTATGTCTGGTAGCTCCACATGGACGATGAGCTAGCCACCCGGGTGGCCCAGTGCTCCCTGTGCCAACTGTCCCGCCCTGCGCCACCAGTGGAGCCACCCCGAGATTGGGAGGTGTCTAAGGGACCCTGGTCAAGACTTCACCTGGACTTCACGGGTCCCTTCCACAGCCAGATGTTCCTGGTGGTCGTGGACGCTTACTCCCACTGGGTGGAACTCATTCTCATGTTGTCCACCACAGCAGAAAGCACCGTGCGGGCCTTGTGGCACCTTTTTACCACCCACAGCTTGCCGGACATTGTCGTGTTCGGCAATGGGCCGCAGTTTGTGTCCACAACTTTCCAGGAGTTCCTGGCTGCACAGGGCATCTGCCACGCGCCTACCGCCCCTTACCATCTGGCCGGCAATAGCCGAGCGGAACGAGTGGTCCGCTCGGCCAAAGAGGTGTTGGGCAGGATGGATCAAGGCGACTGGCCAGCACTGTGGCCGCTTACCTCCTGGGTGGGTCAGCACTCAACCCCTTGCCCTATCTCACACAAGAGCCCTGCTGAGCTGCTGATGGGCCGGCACCTGGATAGATTACACCCACTCTACTCTGGGGAACAGCCTGGCAACCTGAGGGCCCCTCCCTGCACTTTCAGGGACGGGGACCTTGTTTGGGCTAGACGTTTTTCTGGGATCCGAGGGGGGTGCCTGCCACCGTCACCACAGTAACTGGTCCCTGTTCTTACAGGGTCGCCCTTCCAGATGGCACCAAGTGGAGGTGCCATGTGGATCAAATGCGGTGCCACCTTCCACCTAAGGCCTACTCTCAATCCGGCCCGTCGAGCCCAGCCACCGTTGCCCAGCAGCCGGCCTCCATACCGTTGTGGCCTGCAATTATGGCCCCATTTGAGGCCTTCCCCCAGTGAGGCCTCTCCTGCCCTGCAACTGCCTTCTAGCAGCCGTTCCATGTGCCGACGCCTTCCGTACACGCTCCTCCTGGGTTTCCCCAACCAGAGGACTTTCCCCAGTCAGGCCTCGCCTACCCGGCTGCTGCCTACCGGCAGTATCGCTCTAATCCACATCCATCGGATGCGCCCCCCTCACCCCATCCTACCTATGCAGTTGGATCCGCCTTCAGGGGTAGGCCCGGATGACATCACCCAGAGCTACACTCCCTTCAGGGAGGAGCTTCTACAGGGACATATTACCCTATCGACGTCGCCACTGGAACTGAGGCGTTCTGGGCGGGTCCGCCGCCGGCCCGCCTACTTAAGCAATTACACATGTGCAACCTCCACGCATGCGCCCTCGCTAGGGGGGAAGGAGTGCTAAGTCCTCGACTTGCGACCGGTCCTAAAGTCCTTGACTTACGACTGGCCGCAAGTCCTTGACTTATAACTGACAGCCGACAACAGCCTAGCCATGCCTAATTGGCTAAAGCGCAGCTGGCTGAGCACGGTCTGTCAGAAGCACTCCCATTGACCGTCCTGCTTGACAACTCCGTATAAATAGCTATCAAGCAGGGCGAGGTGCTGAATTCTGCCTGTACATAGTTCTAGTTCTGTTTTCAAATAAACTACTGTTCAACTCACCTCAGCCGCCTCATGTCTCGTCCATCCTTTGATCTTTTACAATATGAATATCTATTTCTCTCTCTTTTAGTATCTGTGACCGTTACTGTCGATGCTCAGGTGAGGGTCACTAACAAAGAGTACAACAAATCTCTGGAAGACTTAAACTCTAACTATTATCGGGAAATTCAGACTCAGTTTAAAAAGCAGGTAAGATTTTCAAAGAAATAGCTTACATCCAGAGGTGATATTTGGCCGGTTCTCTCCGGTTCAGGCAAACTGATAGCAGCTACTGTGGGAGGCTCCGCCCACCTGCACTGATGTAATACATGAGCAATGCGCATGTGCAAAAAGCTGTGCACATGTGCAGATGAGGTGCATGTGCTTACATTTGCGAACCGGTAGGGAAAGTAAGTGAATCCCACCCCTGCCTACATCTGATCAATGTCACCATTCCAATGTAAGATATCTTACACTCTTCTTTAACCAAGGCCAGCACTCCTAATTTATACCAAGAACATGTCTTCTTCCCAATCAAAAACTCTCTTCTTGGATTCTCAGCTTTCTGCAGCTGGAGAATTAGACAAAACACAGCACAGACCACCTACTAAAGGCTTTAGGAGGCTTGCTTCTAATTCAGGTCTCTTTCCTGGCACAGGTTTCTTTGCTTATGAAGGCTTTCTTTTACTTTTTCTACCTTGTAGATGAAAGATGTTTATGGTGCCGTCCCTGGATACAAAGATGTGGAGATCTTACGAATGAAGTGGGTGTCTAAAACACGAGCAATTTATTCTTTGGGATGATGAGGCATCAAGTGAACGAATATTGGTAGACCTTTTCTCCCATTATGGATCCTCTTTTTTCGTTTAAGTAATTCCTCTTTAGGAAGAGGGACATGGTGGCTCAGTGGCTAAGACACAAAGATCGGCAGTTTGAATCCCTAGTGCCACATAATAGAGTGAGCTCCAGTTACTTGTCTCAGCTTCTGCCAACCTAGCAGTTCGAAAGCATGTAAAAAAGACAAGTAGATAAAATAGGAATCTGGTGGGAAGGTAACAGTGTTTTGTGCGCCTTCGGTGTTTAGTCGTGCCAGGCACATGAACACAGAGATGTTTTTGGACAGTGCTGGCTCTTCGGCTTTGAAACGAAGATGAGCACCGGCCCCTAGAGTTAGAAACAACTAGCACATATGTGCAAGGAAAACCTTTACCTTTAACCCCTCTTTAGATTCCTTTTTTAAAAAACAATGTGGATAGTCCAGGGTCTGAGCAAGGAAGGAACCAAGCGTGGCTAGAGAATTTGAAGATTGGGCATTTTGCATGTCTTATATATACTTTCAGTCACCATGTGTTTCAGGAAACAGCTGAGGAGGATGAAATAGCTCTTCAAGAGAAGCACCAACAATGATGATCTTGCAAGTTAAAGCAATTAAAGACTTGGACTAAAGTCAAATTTGAAATCCCACTCAATTAGGAAGCTTCCAGAGGAACTTTGTGTCAGTCTGAAACTCTTATTCTAAGCTCTTTCTTAAGATAGTTGTGTGGATTAAATGGAAAGGACTAGAAGTACTAGTTCACTTTGAATTTGATGGAGGAAAAAGGTGGGGCTAAGACAGTCTTTATCAGCACCTGAGGAATTTTTCTTTCTTCATTTTTTCTCTCTTAGGAACGGCAGTATTATTGTGGAACATAAAGTCATCTCCCAAGTACTAACAGAGAATAATCTGGAACTGATTCAGCGTATAATAAAAATTATTATAGAGGCAGTAGAACACTCCCTGAAAGACTTACACACTGAAGGAAAGTGTATTGATCCTTCAGGTATGGTATACAGCTGGGTAAACTTTTCCACTGGGTGAGAAATAAGCAAGGGTCCTGGCTCTTTCTTCTTTTAAACAAGAGTGTTTTTAGAATGAGCCACCTTTTTTTCTGTAGGCACAAGCCTCCTTCCGGATAGTTTGCACATTTCAATATAGCCACTAGATGGCAGCAAATACATTCTTTATTTTTCTATTTGTCCCAAATCAGAGGAGGAATCCTCCGCTCCCAAACTGGTGTTGTGTATGTGGGTCAGGAAACGGATTATTTTGCTCAGTTTCTCGGGGCAAAAGGGCAGAGGATGTAGGGCTGAAATGCAGCTTTGGTTCATTCTTTAGGTTTTTAGGGGGGAAAGGGGCTATGAATAAGGAAGGTTTTGCCTGAAAGAACAGACAGAGAAGAGGGGAGTTCTTGAAGGCTCAGCCTCAGGTCCCCTCTGCTGGGCAAGGAAGAGATTTATAGAATTTGGTTCATCAAGAATGAAAACTGCAGTGTGCAATTAAACAAGGTTTGGACCAGTGGTGAAATTCACATTTTTTTTTACTACCAATTCTGTGGATGTGGCTTGGTGGGCATGGCAGGGGAAATATATTGTAAACTCCATTCCCTTCCCATTCCAGGGGAAGGATATTCCAAAATTTCCATTCCATCCCCACTCTGGGGCCAGCCAGAGGTGGTATGTGCCAGTTCTCTGAACTACTCAAAATTTCCCCTACCGGTTCTCCAGAACCTGATGAATTTCACCCCTGGTTGGACCAAAGATAATAACTGTGTTTGCACTATCCTGGTTTGGAGAAATAAAGTTAATTGTTTCTCTGACCTTTGGTGGGTTGTTTAAAAAGACCTATTTAATTTTCCTGGTGAAGAAGAATTTTGGATGAAATAAACCAATGTGTATAATGACCCCAGATAACTAATGAACACAATTATACTTTTTTTTTTCAGGACCAGAACTGTGCTTTGTTCCTTTACCCAACTCGGCTCTTATTCCAAGTTTTTCATTAAATGGTAAGTTTCAGTAAACAGATGGGTAGATGTGTCAAGATTATCAGGACTATGTTTTACCTTTTAAAGCTACTTAATTGTTCAATCCACATTTTAAATGTGTAACTGCTAACACTGCCATGGATATTTGAACTGTTTGTTTTCATACATAAATGAAAGTCCCTGAAATATTTGATGATATATAGATCCAATCCATCTATCAATCCAGTCAATCCATTTCATCTAACTACTTTATGTCAGCTTGTAGTGTCAATCCCATGACACAGTCATGGGGAACCTCTAGCAAGCCAAGATAATCCCTCAGACCAAATCCATGGAGAATGAATGAATGAATGAATGAATGAATCAATCAATCAATCAATGAAGCCTTTTCCAGCTACCATATGCCCACTTGTAGCATTTGCAGTGAGGCAAAGACGATGGGAAGATGGAAAAGGAGCTGCACAAGTCATGCTAAAAGATATTGTCATTTATGCTCTTCTCTAGCTAAGAACTAGACAACTATCCTAAAGTGCCAATTCTTGAGCCAGCAGAAGAACATAAAAGCATAAATTACTTTCAAGAAATTTGTCTCTCTTGCAAAATAATATGGAGATGGTTCTCAGCCTCATATCCTGTGGGGAGCATCACAGTGGCCACTTGTTGATAGAGTATATCAGAAGCTACCTATAGAAAAATTGTGCCAAAGGGAAGAGGAAAAACACTATTTTAAAACTGGGACAGCCAAGGACAAGTTTAACATGGCTTACAATATGGTGGGAATGAAGAAAAAGCAGTAACTATTAAATATTTCTTAAGAATTGCGGGGGAGGGGGAAATCCAGTAATGTTGAGGATGTACTTGAATAGTGACCATAAAACAGAGTGGAAAATTCAAGGTTGAGGAACAAGAATGAAGAAAATATAAAGGGGACTTTGTTCTTTTGCTAAAACACAATTTGGCCCTAAGTAAATATTGTATTATAAATAGCACAGTAGCTGAAGGGAAAAAGCTAAAGATGTATTGTAAGGACACATTTATATGGCGTTTAGGAGGACATGAGGAAGAAGCCAAGAAAAATATGAGTTTCACCCTTGCAGAGCTGGGCCAACTATAAATTCTTCTAAATTTGTTTCTTTCAGTTCTTACAATCATCTTTATTATTTCTCTTTGAGGTTGGAGTTCTATCATAATTGTGCAGATACCTTTTATTTTCTGCCAAAGAAGCATATTTTTCAAAACTGCTACAAAACTAGTACATGGGGCAGAGTGGGGGAGTGGGATTATCTTGCTAAATTTGAGCAAATTTGCTGCCTCAGATCATAGTTGGTGTCAGGGCAGTTTGTTCATTTGACCTACATGTTTTGCCCATATTTCATTATATATTTAGCACCTCTTTTTTCCAGACACCTGTAAAAACGTAAGTGATACAAAGTATGCAGACTACTATTATCCCTACATAAGGAATGGTACTGTGCGCTGTATCACGAGATGTTCCAGTGGCACTCCAGATTCCATGAACTGCTTCAATGGTGTTTGCCGCCTCTCTGAAATAGGCCCCCACTGCATGTAAGTAGACAGAAAGCGGAGGAGTATCGAAGGAGTCCTTTAGAGCCAGGTTCATTAGGATGTAAGTCTTAAATCTTGAACAGTTATTAGATCTGACAGAGATGATCTCCCATCTCACTACATTTTTCTGCCTGCAGAATCCCACATTTTCCTAAAATCTATATACAAAGATGTTATTAATATAGTTGTTATCAAAATGTTTTTTTTATTTATGAAATTTGTATGTTGTCCGACTCCCTATAACTCTAGGCAGTTCACAAGTAAAAAGAAGAAAAACAAGAACAAATACAATAAGAGGAAAGGGTGCCACATTGTGTCTTTTGAGGCTGGAGGTGTAACACTCCTTGTATCAAAATAGCTCACATGACAGCATGGACCCAACTGCAGGTCAGCTCCTTGGCCATTTTTATAACCCAAATCCAGTAAATATGTGACCAAAGTAACAACGCACTTCATCAGGGTCTCAAATGCATCCAGATTATACCATCAGATCATATCCCAGGCACTTTGGTTTTCCCTGCACAGTCAAAATTCATGTTGGAATTGATCTGCATGCCTTTATCCATTAGATAGCCTGAATAATTCTCACAAAGGCCCAGCAGATGTTCTGAAAAGCCATCCCTATCTAACTAAGAACAAATGGGCCTGAACACAACCACTGCACAATTATCAGTATATGCAATGTGAAAATATTGGCATTTGGCCACCCTTATCACCAATAGGTAATCCCAAATATAGTAATCTGATCAGATAATGCAGTCAACTTGAGTCTTCTTCAAGTCTGCCAGATATTTCTATTGTGTTTCATCTCCTGGTGCTTCTAGGTAAACCAAGGTGAATTCTTGGATTAGTGTACAGGGAGAGGTTGCATAGGGCAATATGGTCCAAAATTCTGGCCATCTAATTTATTCCAGGCAGTGACTCCATCAAATCACTCACCAGATCTTCAGGAAAGTCCCTAAGCTCTTACTGGAATCCCAATGGATTGATCAAACAATGTATCAGTAAGATTCTATGACAAGTGAAGAAAATAGAAAAAACTGGTAAAATGATTGATTTGGAATATCAGATTGTGTAAAATGAAAGGGAATTGATATCCTAGTATAATTTGGTTGACATTTCAAAGGAGGTCTCTTGGAAACTCTAGCAGAAACTCACTGACTCTAGCACAAGGTTAGAATGATTCGAGAGCAGTTTTTTTAGGAATTAATAAGAGATTAAATGAGCATGAATTCCTCTGTGTTTAAAATTTATTTATTTTATTTAGCAAAATAAATAAACATAGCAAAAATGTTAAAAAGCACATCACAATTACACAATTACCAGATGGTGTTCTGGTGATTACTCTATGATTGTCTCTCGTGCTTTCATCATCTCTTGTTTGGATCACAGTAATGACCTTTAGTTGGGGCTGCCTTGGAGTCTATTTAGAAATGAAAGATAAAGGTTGTCCCTGTCCAGTTGTTTCCGATTTTAGAGGGCAATGCTCATCTCTGTTTCTTAGCTGAAGGAGTCATTGTTGTCTCTTTTCCCACTCTAGGATGGCTCCCCACTTATAGTGCTCCAAAACCAAATGAAATCAATCGTTTTTTTATCTATGAATACAGGTTAACAGAATGTGACAGTTATCATTTCTTTGTTAGTTATGATCTGAAGCCTATTGATTTATTCTATTTCTGTTTTATTATTTTAATACAATGTTTTAATGAATTTTTGCTATTGGAAGTTACTTAGAGTCTTACAAAGAAAGCTCTTTTTATCAATTCATTTCTCTTTCCCATAGTTGCAATAATTTGGACGTGTTCTGGTATCTGGATAGTTACTGTCGATTACCCATCCAAAAGACTGTGTTGGGCCTTAGTCTTGCCCTGGCTGTGTTCTTTGTGTTAAGTATCATCCTTGTTATTTGCCTCATCAAAGCAAAGCGGAAAAATTCCAGGAATAGGTAAGAAGCCTAAGAAGTCCAATGGTACCATAGCAAGGAAGAACATATCCCTAATCCATATTGTTGATCCTTGGACCATCTGATTGGGAAAAATGTCCTAGTGAGAAGACCCAGGAATTCTGAGATCTTTAAGACAGGAAATTGTTATTGCTAGTTTATCTAAGGGATGAAAGTGGCTACTGTTTTTAGAGAGCCAAAGAGTTGTTCACCTGAGATTTAGCACACAATAGGGGAGAGAATTACCTGTATCATGAGAGGGCTGCTTCTATCTTAGGGTTTATTTACAATGATCTGTGTTATTCTTGCAGAAGGTCTGATGGTGCTAACTGTGATAAAATAGGCCAAAGGAATCCCATATTTCAAGAATAGAGGCTAGTGGAACTGCACTTGAACATAACCAATGAGGACGAGCTGACATGAAGTATACGGAATGATTGCTAAAAAATGATTAACAAGACTTTCTATCTGAGAACAAAGAGGTTGATGATAAATGCCTTCATACATGTTGGACTTTGGATGAAGTGCAATTAATCAGCAAATAGCCATGGAAGTGTTTGATTCAAGGTGTGTAAAATTATGAAGCACGGTGAAATTCCACCTTCTCCATGCTAAGGCTCAGCCAACTTTTCAGTGGGGGATATGCATGAGGTACAAACGTGACCTTTGCTGATTTGCTTGGAATCAATAAAAGTGATGATTGTTGAATTTTGTGTTTGTATTTTTTTCATTGTTAAATATCTGATTCTCTCTTCTTAGTTTAGTTTTTTTAGTTTTATTAAACATTTATAGGCCGCCCTTTTCCCTGAGGGGACTCAGGGCGGCTTACAATAATAGGGGAGGGGAGTGCAGGACAAAACACAAAAAGAAAATGGGAGTAAAAATAATTAGCGGTAAAAACACAACATTCATTCAACATTCGGGAGGGGTGAGAGTAAAGTCTTATCCCCAGGCCTGACGGGATAGCCAGATCTTGAGGGCTGTGCGGAAGGCCTGGACGGTGGTGAGGGTGCGGATCTCCACGGGGAGATTGTTCCATAGCGTCGGAGCTGCAACTGAGAAGGCTCTCCTCCGCGTAGTCGCCAGTCGGCACTGACTGGCGGATGGAATTCGGAGGAGGCCTACTCTATGTGATCTGATGGGACGGAGGGAGGTAATTGGCAGAAGGCGGTCTCTCAGATAGCCAGATCCACTACCATGGAGCGCTTTGTGAATGGTAAGTAGGACCTTGAAGTGCACCCGGAGATCAACAGGTAGCCAGCGCAGCTCACGGAGGATCGGTGTTATGTGGGCGAACCGTGGTGCGCCCACAATCACTCGCGCGGCTGCGTTCTGGACTAGCTGAAGTCGCCGGATGCTCTTCAAGGGCAGCCCCATGTAGAGCACATTGCAGTATTCCAGCCTAGAGATCACAAGGGCTCGAGTGACTGTTGTGAGGGCCTCCTGGTTCAGGTAGGGCCGCAACTGGCGCACCAGGCGAACCTGGGCAAATGCCCCCCTGGTCACAGCTGACAAGTGATGGTCGAAACTCAGCTGTGGGTCCAGGAGGACTCCCAAGTTGCGGACCCTGTCTGAGGGGTATAAATTTTGACCCCCCAGCCTGAGTGATGGAACGTCGGCCAAATTGTTGGGAGGAAAACACAACTACCCCTCCGTGCCTGTTCAGGAAAAGCCATTAATTGAGGTTGTGAGGGCTTTCTAGCTTAATGCCAAATTTCACCCTTTCTTGGGCAAAGTACTAGTGATTAAGCCAGTTGCACAATTGGAGCGTGCTGATTTTCTAAATATATTTCAGTCTGAGTTCTGATCTGGTAATGAAAGCAAAGAATTTGCTTGATGGATGAGTTTTACTGGAGATGGACAGAGGAATGCGGTGTATGATATTGGCTGGATATTCCAATGTCTTTGATATCACTGGTGATCCTTTGGGCTGCAACCATGGATTCAGGATTGGAGACACTATTATGCAGAAGCTCCACTCTTATCTAGGAGAAACATTACCAAGAGCAGCTTTGGCAGACGGCAGGTTGACCTTCTTATGGAATACCTCAAGGTAGCACCTTGGAACTCCATGGAAGAGGAAGACAAAACACCAAATGAAAGTATGCTACCAAAACCCCGCTCCTTTGTTTTTGTGTGAGATGACAACACATGTACAAAAGTTGGAGTTGATCTGTATTCCAGTCCCAATTATGATTTAGGCAAGGAAAACTTAATGCACGGGTATAGAATTGGAAGTAACTAGTTAGCAGCAATAATTGTGAGAGGAATCTAGGAGTCCTTTACAATACAATACAATACAATACAATACAATAGCAGAGTTGGAAGGGACCTTGGAGGTCTTCTAGTCCAACCCCCTGACTAGGCAGGAAACCCTATACCGTTCCAGACATTGCCCAACCTCTTCTTAAAAATGTCCAGTGTTGGGGCATTCACAACCTCTGGAGACAAGCTGTTCCCACTGATTAATTATTCTAACTGCCAGGAAATTTCTCCTAATGGAGAACAAGTTAAGTATGAGTTAACAGTGTGCTGTAGGCAGCCGGAGAGAGAGCTGTGCAGGTGGGCAAGTGGGTGGCAGTGCAGAGGAGTGATGGTGACCAGGGGTTTTCAAACCCCTTGTTACCGCAACTCTGGGAGCTCTGGAGCTTGGCATGGCAGGGAAATGAGATGTGAAAATGGGATGCCCTTGGCTGCCAGTGTCTTGTTGCCACCCACCCTACCCACCACTGCCATCATCAAATGGCCCAACATTGCTGCTGCCACTGTAAAGTCTGAATTATGATAGGCCTAGAACAGGGGTGCTGAACTCAATTTCATTGAGGGCCAAATCAGCATTATGGTCACCTTCAAAGGGTCAGGTGGCCATGGCTGTATGGTCATATGACCACCCTGACTGGGTGGGCATGGCCAACTTGACATTGCTTACGTTGAGGGGCAGTTGTGATGGGCCAGACAAGCCTGGGAAGGGTGATATTTCCATCATGGCTGGAACAGCTATTTACAGAAGGGTTGGCATAGCCAAGGAAGAAATGGCTGAGAGGCCAGGTGAAAGCTTGGCAATATGTCTGATTTTTTTACTGCCTTTCTGGGGGAGTGTGATCTTTCCTTAAATCTAGATGATTTCCTTAGGATATCTTGTGAGGTAAGTGAGGCCAGCTGGTATATTTAAATGGTGCAAATGGATATAATGAATGTATATACTGGGTGGGAAACTGTCCTTTGTCAGTTTACTGAGCACAGGAGTCTCTTGTCTATGGGGATTCTTCAGTCATCCAGGTCATGGTTGTCCCAAAGGGGCTTTGGTTTCCAGAAAGTCCAGTTGTTTCTTGAAAAAGCACCTTTGGGATAGGAGTTTCTTGCATTGTTTCAGATTGGCCAAGGCACATGATTGCTCACTGATAAGGCTTCTGCTGTTGCCACTATCCCCACGAGACAAAGCAAGGTGGGACCAGGCAAGGCCATGCATGCCAAGGCGAGGCCGGGTGTGGTGAGAGGCCAGGCAAGAAGAGGAGAAGCATGACAAGGCATGGCTGGGAGGGATGGGGTGAAGTGTGTTAGGGCAAGAAGAGGCTGGGTGGGTCAAGGCAGGACAGAGCAAACGAGCTGCACATGCCTAGTAGGAGTACCCTGCTGGGCCAAGCTGAGGCAGTGGGGGCCGGTCCCTCACGGTTTCCAGGCTGGCCTCATAGCCAGATCTAACCTCACCATGGGCTGGATCTGGCCCACAGACCTTGAGTTTGACACCCCTGGCCTAGAGCTTGGGTCAGCAGCAGCAGCTGCAGGGTGTGTGAAAATGGGAAGCTCCTAGTTGCTGCTGCCTCTCTGTGCTCTGTCCTCCTACTCGCTCGTTGGCCTACCCTGCTTTACCTCCTGTGCTCAATCGCAAGTTGTGTCCATGACGAGTTGGCTGTGTATAGTTGTTCTTTGTTGACTTAATGGTAATGAGCCAGCAGAAGCCACTTGATGGTGACAAGCTCACAGTGGTAAACTGGCTGCACCAAGTTGGTTGTCCCGAGTTGTCCCATTCTGTCTCCAAAGACACTTCAAGGCAGGACAAAGAAGTAAATAATGGAAACTTATTAAGGAGCGAATTTCCTGTCAAATAACCACTGGAATGACTTCAGAAGCTGTGGATGCTCCATCTCTGGAAGCTTTTTGTTTTCTGTAATTTCTAGCCTTCTTTCATCTTAATTCCCCCCTTTTTTATTCTAAATATTAACTTTTGTTACTTTTTATTCTGCATTAAAATTTCTAATAAAATTTTATTATTTATAAAAAAAATTTTTTAAAGAGAGTGGAGAGCAAAAAATTGCCTAATCCTATCTCAGTCTTGTTGTATCTCAGGATTAGTTTTTCTAACCCAGGGAGGTTATTTTTCTGTTCTCAGTTGTATCATATAACACTATCTGATATGAATAGGCCTCTCTTGCTTCTTGTTAATGGCAACCTGCACAGGATACAAGACAGGAGGAAGAGCCGCTACCAAAGGCAATGGTTAAATAAGTGGGGCTTGAATCTGTTCCAAGAAACTAGAGAAAACATTCCAGAAAGGCTCCTCCCTATTCACATAGACATAAAGGGAAGGAAGAGGGAGGTATATTTGATTTCGCAAGATTCTCTTAAGAATAGTTGCTGCCATAAAATTAGTGCTGACTTATATGGCCTTGGGGCTTTTTAATCTTGTTTCCTCAAAAGGCTGATCAGGCTTTCATTAACTCTCTTTGACGGCCTTCTTTTACATTTTGTCACATGCTGTGTTACAGACAGGTCTCTTAATTATTAATGTATCTTTTTCTTGACATTTTTCCTTTACTTTCCACACAGGGTAGTGAATAACGGGGTTATGACAGCAGAGATTTAGAACAAACGGGATTAGACTGAGTACCTATCATAACTTCAAACTGTCCTCCAGAATTTTGTACTGTAACTAAAAACCATATGTAGTTGCTCCGAGGCAGTCTTCCTGACACAGAAACATTCAGATAAATTGGGATAAGTCCCAGAGTTTCCAGCCTGACTGTTATTATCATTATCAGTAATCAATTAACTACCTTAGTCACCATAGCAATTCTTATAATCTAAGAATACAGTAGTCCAATTTTCAAAGGAAATGTTATGGCCTGAGCAGTATTTCTTCTCCTATTGAATATCTAGGTATTATGCGTTTTATAACTATTGCTCAGAGAGAGCAAAGAGCAAAAAGCAATAACTGTGTTTCACATTGAAAAAGCAGATGTATCTAGAAATGACTGCAGCAGATCAGACGTGATGCCTCATAGCGTATTCTCTAGGCACACCCTATTTGCCAGCAACCTCAGCTTGTTTATCAGCTAATCGTTATCATTATGTTTTATGACGCAATTTGAGATGCAGAACAGAGCTAAATATAGTACTGTATCTGAGGTGTAGAAATTAGGGCTCAAAGTATACAGTTTTTATTGCTGTTTCTGAAGATAAGCAAGGCAATCCTCCTGAATTTTCATCCAAGGTTCTCATCCATGCATGACATGACATGAGATTAGTCATCAGGGTACAAATGGTTGACTAGTTTTCAGATCTAAATCTTTTGACCCATACCAAAAGCATGCCTAATCCAGAGTATTTATTTTATTTACGAGATTTAGAGGCAGCCCAACTCTAAAACAACTATGTGGAGGTTATACAAACATATCCCAGAAAATGTAAACATCTAGCTCAGTACCTGCAAGTCTAGGAGAACAACCAATTTTTAAAGACTCCTGGAAGACCACCAGAGTGGGAGCCAGGTGGATCTTTCATAGAGGGATAAATCATTCCAAAGTCAGATGCCACATAGAGAGTTTGATTGATGTGGCTGAAGCATGCCACTTCTGCTCAATGTTATTAGAGATATAGAAACTATGGATGATAGACAAGGATTCTATATGGGATAACCAGCACCTTTAATTTTGACTGGAACAGTCTGAACAGTGATGGCAAATGGGCCCACTGAAGGCCCACACTCAGTGGGTCAATATTCCCCACCCAGATCTTCATAGCTTTCAGGCATTGAGGCAAAAAATTGATGGCATCATTTGGCTGGCATAAGGTTGGGTATCATCTGCATACTGATGATACCAGTCCCAAACTGATGGATGATAAAGTGTGGAACCCTGCAGTGCTATGCAGATGGGGGACAACCTGTATTTTATCACCTCATCAACACTGACTGGAAAGGCCCATCAAAAAAGCAGAAAACCTATGATAACACAATGTCGCCAACTCCCAAACTTTTTACCGGTCCAGAAAGATACAACTATCAATGGTAACATAAGCCTCTGAGAAATGAAAGAGTATGCGGATGGACAAACCACCCTCTGGTTCCACCCAAGGTCATCAAGTATGACTAATACAATCTCTATATGCATTCCTGGCATGAATCCTGACTGAAATGGGTCCAGATGATCAGCTTACTTAGGATCCTCTGCAATTAATATTAGACCACCTTCTCAATAACCTAAAGAGGAAGGTTGGAGATAGGTTGATAGTCAGGTTCAGGGATGACTTCCAAAATAATCAGATTCAGGGATGGCTTCTTGAGAATAGAGCAACCACTGCCCTTTTCAGGGCCCAAGTGACTCCAAAGGAAGCTAATACTACTACATTAATCTACTGACAGGTCACCTTATGGGCAACCTAATAACCTAGGAGGGGCCTGAGTCTAAAAGCCGGCAGACAAACTTGCAGTTTGGAAAACCCTGTCCTCCTCTAAGGAACCACAGATTCAAATTCATTCCCTGACCTTTTTGACTGTGAGATATATTAGTGTTGCTCAACCTTAGCAATTTTAAGATGGGTTCAGTTCAAGTCTCAGAATTCCCCTATCAGTATTCCCGCCTGGAGAATTCTGGGAGTTCAAGTCCATTCGTTTTAAGATTGCCAAGACTGGGAGACACTCCATTAAGCAGTGGAACAGTCTGCTTCCAAAAATCAGAGGTGGTCCATCATTTTAAGGAAAGTTGGACAATTATTTGTTTAGGATATCATGAGAATTATTATATTGTACAGGGTCCTTTCCAATCCTGGGATTTCATAAATCTACAATGTTTCTCTAGTTGTGTCTTCTTGTGCTTGTTTTCCAGTGTTCCATAGTGAATAAAGGCACACCCTGGGATTCTTGTGCAAGAAGAGATTATATAGGGTTAATGTCATCCAAAGTCCCTGCCACCTGTTAATTCCAGACTGTGTCTACATCATTGACTGAATTACGCAGCAGATTCTCATTTTTCCAGAGATTTGAATTCATTCTTTGTCCTGATTTTATTTGTGTGGCATTGACCAAGTTTTTCATTCTACTGTAGTAGATATGAATAATTGAAGAGGGGAGAGTAAACTCTGAGATATAAATGCATTTATTATATTTCATTTTTTTCACATAGGAATAAATCCTGTGTGACAGCAAAGCCATCTGCCTTGCTGTGCACATCAGCTTTGAACAATGGCCTGTACTCTTTAATTCTTACTCTGTTGTGATTTTTAGTTCTGTAGGAAAAGGGAGGACAACCATCATTTTGAGTGTGGACTGATTGAGAGGAACCTCCCTCTCATTATCTCTCTCCCTCCCCCTTTCTCATTCCCATCTCCCTCTCTCCCTCCCTCTTTTCCTTCCGTGCTTCTCACTCCCATCTCTTCCCTCCCTCCATTTTTTGGAGTGCTTGTTTCTTTTTCTCACCTATTACTACTTCAATGGTGTGTGCTCAAGGGATTGGACTGCACATCCCCCCACAACCTGCAGCCAATCATATTGTGCTCTGCACCCCCAACTCCCATGCGCAGCCCCATGGAAGGCTGCAAGATGCTCCCATCACAGCTCCTCTTACCTCCCCCATTCTTTTCCTCCCAAATGACACGGGGCTGCAAGGAGGGAGATCCCCACATTTTAATTGCCTGAGAGCTCCCCCACCCCAAATTAAAAACAATATACAAACACATTTAACAGTTGGGGACAGAAAGGAAGAAATGCTTTGTGGGCATAAGCCGGGACACCATCATGGGGAAGGAAGGAAGATGAGGGCAAGAGCCAAGCCCTTCTTCTTCTTCTAACAAAGCAGCTGCAACTTGTGCAAGCTTAGGGTAGGCTTCATCGTGATGTACTCATTTCCCGCAGCCACGACCTTGGCTTGGAAGTCCTCCACGAGGTCTTCTTCCAGCTCACCTCCCTCTCCAATATTAAAAAGTCCCTTCAGTCCCGATGTGAGCAACCCACTTGTGTCCCTGGTCTGCACTAGGAAATAAGAGAGATCCCACCTGCCGCAACATCGCTTCTGCCTTCTGCCACGTCACAAACAACTCCCCCAAGCAAAGCCATCTACGTCATCAACGCGCGATGGACGGCAGGCTATGCAGTGATGCCTCCAAGTCCAATAAAAAGCTGTCAAGCATTGACTGATATAGATATAGGGCAAACAGCATTCATCTCCGTTTGCAATTAGCTGGAGGGAGTTTCATTCACGATTCTATGGGCATTCTGCAGAGTACAGAGACTGCAGTCCATGTCCAGCAAACGAGACTGTGCGGCAGTGGAAAACTGCTGCACAATGTTTACTTGCCATGTATTTACTTGCCAAAATTTACTTGCCCAAAATCGGGACTTTTTTACAACGCCATGGGACGCGGGACAAATTATTAAAAGCATAACTGTCCCGCCAAAAGCGGGATGTCTGGTCACCTTATCCTAGCGCCTGTCTGGTCCCTGGTCCCCTGTTGTCCCTCTACAATGCTAATACATTATTTTTATTTCTCCAGCAAGTTTGTGCATGCTGTGTGTGCTGGAACCCAGAAGAGAGAAGCTGACCAGAACGCATGTGCACAACAGAACCCACAAGAGCAGCTGGCGACGATGCATGTGCCCACAGAGAGGACTCTGTGTGCCATAGATTCGCCATGGCAGCTCTGGAAAGTAGCTGTTGAGCTGCTAGGGTTAGCCTATATCAAACTGAAACATGCTATCTCTAAATGGATAGGAGGTGACATAAATGGAAAAATGTGCTTAGGAAATATAACCAGAAAACATACCCTGAGGTTTCTTCAAAAGTGCATATAAGGGATAAATAGAGTTACTTTCTTATGTTTCTGCATTCTAGAAACATTTAATTGACTGTTAACAATCTGAGTAAGTCATTTATTTTTAAATGAAAAGCCACATATTGAACCGATTATTTATGTGGGCTGTATAGTCTTCTGCTATCTTCCCTTTATGGGGGACTTGTTTCAGGGCTCTTTTCCTTCAGAGTGATATATTTATAGATAATACAACAAGATGCATTTTTTTTCTTTTCAATGATATTGGTTGTATGCTATTGATTTTCTCTCAGTGCATTTAGGATTCCAGCAAGGGCTTTTTTTTTTATATTGGTCAAGCTTATGGTTCTAAAGCTACTCAGATAGTCTTTGTCCAGGAAGAATCATTGCAATCATGTCTAAATGCACTGGGAAGAATTTCCCCACCTTGTAACTGAACTCCAAAAATAGTAATTAAGGAGGAGTAATCAGCTTATTACTGATGTAATTACACACATATCTTTGAGACGGATTCTTACAGGACTCATTGGGACCCTCAAGCAGGGGTATTTAAGATTGCATTGCTAGTAAGGGCTGGTCCACCTAGAAAATGAACAAAATTCATATTGTTGAAAAGTAAACAGTGAATAGTAAATCTAATAATCATAGATAAAACTGGAAAGAGTGCATGGTTTAATAGATGGCTTTCAAAAATGGTATAAAGCATTGTTTATTTTTTTAGATTTAGACTTTTTTGCTTTAAACTTTACAGGAATCTTATGAGGTCAACAGTGCCACCTTCACATTCTATATGGAAGAAGTTAGATGGAAACAATCAGCATGTTCAAGACTAGAACAAAATTAACCTGTAATTAAAATGAAAACTAGCTGCTGTAGACTGTTTATCAGGATAGGAAAGGTGTGTGTGTGTGTGTGTGTGTGTGTGTGTAGGTGTATGCTTGTGTTTTTTCTTGCATTATATTGATTTGTGATTTTTGATAGGGAAGAACTAGCAAACACAACAGCAAGTCAGCCTGCAACTCTTTTCTTCTACATTGACTGGCAAAGTTCCAGGCAAGTTTTATTGCCTTTCATGGACTCATGGTCTCTATGACGGAAATAAGAAATATTATGATTCAGTTGTGAAATGATCAGCCTTCTCCTGCCATTTTTCAGGAGTTCAAGGTTCTCAGTTCTAACTCACTTCCTTCAATAAACAGACTGCAGACTTCAACAGTGGTCCGATTCTACTCCAGTAGCCCTAATTTGGATTGTCTCACAAACTTTCAGGCTAACTGATGAGTAAGGTGTTATTTCTCCTCTTTTTTCTCTTCCTTTGTGCAGAAACAGGTGAGTAGAGTTCGGGCTGTAAATAACTCTTTAGAGATATGGTGGATGGTTCTGGGAGAGAAAAAAAAACGTGTATAAATGATGCATCTTCCAAAGTGAGATGTAGAACAATGGGGAATATAAATACATGTAGTAATATTCTGTGTATGTTAGTTAGTGACTGAAAAAGCTAATAGGTTATATCTTGGCAATTCAATAAGACATTACTGTATATAATCAAAACTTTATATAGAAAAATTGAATAGTTTCCAAATAAAAACAATCACTTATAAAATTAATAGATGTATGGAATTCTTGTGTATATCATTGCAACAAATAATCAAACAAACAAATTTACATGATGTAGAGAGCTTTGGTGGCATAGTTCGAATGTAGTATTACAGGATAATTCAGTTCGATTTTCACCAGCTCAGGATTGACTCGACATTCCTTCCTTCTGAGGTTGGCAAAATAGCAATTGGGGGCAATATTCTGACTCTATAAACTGCTTAGAAGGGTCTGTAAAGCATTGTGGTATATACTTCTAAGTGCTACTGCTATTGTATCAAAATTAGTTAGAAATTTAATACACTTAACTGCTGGTACTCAACTGCTTTGAAACTCATCAAATTTGGTACTTAATTCATTTTGTCTTGGTACTCAGTGTTTGTTTGGTAAATAATGCACATTAGAACTTGTCAGTATTGGCTGCCTTGTGACTCTCTACATTATTCCTTATGAGAGAAATTTGCTTGGTGCTCATTGCTTTTGGTACACTTACGCTCCTGTTACTAATTAACAAGTACCATTGAGTTCTAAAGATTGCATCAGGGAACAGGCAATCACAGTTATATGTGACTACTATAACATTAATTTTTATAAAAGGAAATCAATATTACCATTTTAAAAATAATTTCTTTTAACAGAAATATTTAAATAGGGGAAACAGCTAAACAAAAAAGGACCTTCATCATTGCCTGTTTTCCACTTAATTCAGCTGGAGAAGTAAGGCCTAAGAAAATTAGGGACTTTCTCATATATGGAATACGGCATGGGAGTTCAGCTGAACAGATAACTAATTTCTAATTTAGGCAACCTTTTTGTTTATCAGATGTTTTATTTAGGGTAAAGAACGATAAATTAAAGGGATGCGGTGGCTCAGTGGCTAAGTTGCTGAGCTTGTCAATCAGAAAGGTCTGCAGTTTGGCGGATCGAATCCCTAGCACCACATATTGGAGTAAGCTCCCATTACTTGTCCCAGCTTCTGCCAACCTAGCAGTTCAAAAGCACGTAAAAACGCAAATAGAAAAATAAGAAATACCTCCCAAATACCTTTAGTGGGAAGGTAACAGTGTTCCATGTGCCTTCGGCATTTAGTCATGCTGGCCAAATGACCATGGAGATGTCTTTCGATAGCGCTGGTTCTTCGGCTTTGAAACGATGAGCACTGCCCCCTAGAGTTGAGAACGACTAGCACATATGTGTGAGGGAAACCTTTACCTTAAGGATACATTGACAAAGAATATCCAGGATGGGGCTAGCACTTGGACTAATGAACGGTGGGTTCAGACCTGCTATTTTTTATTTGACGTTGTTACAGGGTATATGTAATAACCTAGACCTTGTAAACTAATGAACAGTGGGCTACACATGGCTTCATGGGGCAAAAGAGGGATCATATTCCTGGCATGGTACAGATGGATGTTATTGAATAGCCCAAAATACCTTGTACAATGGATACTGGAGGTCCAGTTGAAGCAAAGGACCCTGAAGAAGCTGCCCATCTCGAGTTTTTATTTAACTGGGCAATAATCCTGGTAAAAATCCAAAATAGCAAAATAAAATAAGTCTAAAGAACATGAAACTATTTTTTTAAAAGAATATTCTGTATACATGAAATTCAAAATATCTTTGTGTCAATTTCAGTTTGATTCACATGCTGTCAAAGGTGATCTAATTTTCCTGGTTTCTAACTTTGCTTTGAGATAATTGCTGTCATGGAAGGAAGGAAGCCATTTGGACGGCCATCCTCTTAGGCAAAATGAGGTGGCTGCCTCAGGAAACAGATCTTAGATGTCATGAAGAATCATAATTCTCTTACTTTATGATTGTGGTTTTTATAGCTATGATTGGGCAGGAATAATTAGTAATACTCTCCTTTTTATGCTGGATTTTTATAGTAAAATTTCTAATTTATATAGTTAGTTGGTTCCTTTTGAGGATTCACTTTAGCCAGCTAAATCCTGGGCATTCCAATTTTTCTTATCCTCTGTGCTTTTGGCGATACCGTGAATAAAGCAGAAAGCCAGTGAAAGTAATTTTTCAGCTTAAAGATGAAATTGAATCTGGCTTGCTTAAGAGGTTCCAGTCCAGCTTACCTTCCACTCCCCAGCAGTGGTCCTGATGTTAGCCAGGTGTTCAATCTAGATAGTGATTTGGACATGTTCTGAATATTAATTTTTCTTGTCTATGCTCAATGCTACTCGTTGCTGGAATGGGCTTTCCTCTGTGTGAGTGGAATATGTCTTTTCTTGTATTTCTGATGCATCCTCTGCTCTAATAAACTATTACTTTATTTATCAAAAATATATCCTGTCAGATTACAGAACAAACAGATGTTGTAATGATTTTTTTTAAAAATAATACATTGTTTAGGAATACTTCAACTATAATTGAAATCAAATGGCATTCAGAAAAAGTCTATTTTCAGTTTCTTCCAGAAGGCAGATAATATTAGAGCCAATCAAACCTCCAACAAGAAATGATTCCAGACAAATGGATCCATTGTGGTGAAACAGAACCTCCACACCTAGTTCTCCCAGATCTCCCCAAAATAGGGGATAATTGGCTTCTACAGACAGATAGTGGCCCTACCGCATACTGTAGTTAATTCAGATCTTCACTCTACTTCCCCTTCCTTTCTCCTTCTCCTCTCTCCCCTTTCCACTCCTCCTTGTTCTCCTTGTCTTCCCCCCCCACCCTCTCTCCTATCCCTCTCTTCCTACCTTATTTCTATCCTCTGCTTCCCACTCTTCATCTCATTCACTTGGTGTATATCAGCTTCTGAGCTAGCTCCATTTTGTGTTGATGGTATTTATAATTCCATTTCAATATACATAACATATCTTCCTCCTTCTTTGTTTAAAAAATAAGACAAAACAGTATACATATATAGTCATTGTGCTTTTAAACCCAACACCTCCCCCCAGCCTAATTTAGTTGCAAATATTTACTTCCCTCCCCCCTAAGCCCCCCCTGACTTCCCAGAATATAAGTTATAAGTCTTCAACAAAAACAGTCTAAAATATATTTAGAAAGAAAATAAAAAGTTAATA